AAACCGTGATCCAATTTTCTTATCCCAGAGCAGAAAAATGACCCCATTGCTCCATAGTAGTCCTTGTCATGTCAACCCAATGATGATCATTTATGCATAACTCACATGTGTTTCCATAACCCCCAATTGGCCAATGAGGACAACACAGATCAGGTCATGATGGCGTAACATCTAGCATCCGACCTAGGTTGTCTTGGCAAGTCTTGTCATTAGCAGATTGGGAAGGCATAAGCACTGAAATGATTACCTAAGGTGATCATCCGATTGGTGGATCTGGGCGATCTTGTTGTCCAATTGAGGGACAAGCTGCTTATTTGGTGATGACTTAAATGATGTGTGGGTGATCCGAACACCTTTGCTCTGACCTCGAAGGATGATGAAGCGGGTTTGTTACTATGTCAATCATGAAGTGGCTCATGCTAGTTCGGAATAACTTTAAAATTTCAATATGCTGTTTAGGATCGATCTCATAAATTATCGTTGCAAGTTAGGATGCCTAAGTTCGATGAATTGCCTCAAAGAACAAGTTTGGGGTGACTTGGGTGTGTTTGATACGAGCTATTCACGGATTTATGTCATCAATAAGCACTTCATTGTTAGAAATTAAACGGGGAAATTTTCTTCCACCCTTGAGTTTGGTTTCTCTTCATGATTTTTGCGTTTGACATTGAGGAGTCTAAAGAAGGAAAACACTCTTGTATTTTTATTATATCTCTCCATAAGGAGATGCATTCTACATTTTTTCATTATATAGAAATCTTGTAAAAGGAATACATGAAAAGCTTACAATCCACTATGACAGTTGTGCAGGAATTTCCTTATGCTGGAATCAATTGTGCTGGAGTTTCCTTGGTTGTGATCCATAATTGGTGGGATTGACGTAGTTTCCTTAGCTGAATTATATGATTCCATAATCTGTGAGATTGCTAGAGTTTGCTTAGCTGGTTCCTTTCTCGACGTAGTTTCCTTAGCTGAATTATATGATTCCATAATCTGTGAGATTGCCATGAGTGTCGAGAGGCCAAGCTAAGTATCTTTGGGAGAAGGAGTAATCCACGTCACTGCTAAAGATTTTGACATCTACACTACACCTGTGTGCATATCCCATTATACATGTGTCCATTTGTGGCTTAACACATTATTATTCTCTTGCAAAATCAGCAACAAGAGTAAAGAGCAATGATTTCTTCAAACGTTGGGATCATTAGAGACTAGTTCAGACCGTGATCACGTATTT